TAGCTGTTAGCATCAATTAGCTGTTAGCATCAATTAGCTGTTAGCATCCGTTTAGCACCATTAGCTCTGTTATTGTGTATTAGCTCTGTTAGCATCAATTAGCTTAGCTTGTGTTCCGGTCCGGTAAGATTTCGTCTTTGTAGCTTCCGGGTTTATTTTGTGTCAAATATGCGACTAACGGAGCTCCTGGTGGTTGTGTGAGCAGTTTCAGAGCTACGTACCGACTCTGTGCCGCTTCTCCGGTTTCCAGCTGACATCCAGCAGTCTGCGCTGACGGTCGATCACTTCTTCGTACCGCAGGATCGTCTTCTCAAACTCGGAGAAGATTTCTGAGGCAGCAGCGCTCAGTCTTTCACCGATGAACTCTCTCAGATGATGAACCGAAGACATTTTTACTAAAAACCTGTTAATACTTGTAAAGGACAGAAAACAACTGCTCCCCGTTCACCAGAGTGTTCTCGGATTGACGGCGGAAACAAAACGTCTCGCGTCTTCTTCGTGTGTTTAATAGCGGCTGAAAATAACGCGAGGGCTCTTTAGCGCCACCAAGCAGAGTGGAGCCGTTATTTCTTAGTTTATTGATAAAACATTCAGAAAAAAATAAGCACAACATTCAAATGAAAATTACACCAAAAATATTTGGGGTTATTTAACAGTTAGAAACTTCATGAACTACTACTACTATTGTTCTACTACTTTTTTTTTTTTAATTAATGTAATAAATTGTATAGTTTAGGTCCTAAAATAATGTTTTTATTGACATAATATAATATGAAGATGAAATAAAACATGAAAAATATATTCTAAAATAAAAAAATCTGTGATAAATACGTAACTCATTATCAGACAGGAATTATACCCAAAAGATTAAAAATAAATAACATTAGACGTACCCTGAATGTATCAGCAGGCCAACTAAGTCCACACTCGTCAATGCTTCTCTGCGTGGACACTGAGAAGGCATTTGGTTGGATGTTCCTAAAGCAAGCTCTGAAAGAAATGGGCTTTGATGAAAATTTTATTAACTGGTTTGAAGTACTGTATTCCAGCCCAACTTGTAGAGTACGTGTAAATGGTTATTTGTCAGAAAGTTTTCCCTTAAAAAGAGAAACGTGCCACGGATGCTGTTTATCGCCGCTTTGGTTTGCCGTTAGTATAGAATCTCTAGCAGAATTAATCAGGACATACTCATCCATTTTAGGTATATCAGATAAAATTAGGACCGACAAGTTATCATTGTATGCTGATGACGTCATATTATTTTTATTTATATTATTTAACCTTTATTTAACCAGGCAAATCCGATTGAGATCACAGATCTCTTTTGCAAGGTAGGCCTGGGCCTGAAGGCAGTCTAACATGCATGTTTTTGATCTGTGGGAGAAAACCCATGCAAACACGAGAAGAACATGCAAACTTCACACAGAAAGACCCCAGGTCCAACTGGAGATTGAACCCAGGACCTTTTTGCTGTGAGGCAACAGTGCTAACCACTGAGCCAAAGTGCTGCTAATTATTCATTAGAGATCCATTAATTTCTATATCAAAAGTTTTAAAATGTTTAAAGGGCTTTAGCCTTTTCTTGGGATTCCAAGTACCTGGTCAATGAATAAAAATCTGAAGCTATGATGATAAATGGGAGTGGGCCTTCAGAATTATCTGAAATTATTTAATTCAATTGGTCACCTAACGGGTTTCGATATTTGGGAATCAATATCACTACAAATGTCTCTCAACTGTATAAAGTATAATAACTTAATAATAAATTATCGGAAATAATTGGATCAAATTCAGAAAGAAGGTAAATGTTATCGTCATCCTTTTTGGGGAGGATTGAAACAGTCAGAAAGAATATCCTCCCCAGATTGTTGTATTTGTTTATGTCCCTTCCCATTTGGATCCCCACAATCACTACAAAAAAGCAAAAAGTTATCTCCATTTGTCTATATCTATTTGTCTATTTATCTCTATACATCTTTATTTGACAGAGAAAAAAAAAGGCCAGAATCAAATTTTCACAGCTCACCAGTGGTAAAGCTTATGGAGGCCTTAACCTACCAGATTTGAGGTTATACTAGGGGGGGCTAAAACAGAGTAAAGAAGCAACATGGTTGACCTTTGAACAAAGTTCATGCCCTAAATTTCATATAATAATAACAACAATAACAATAATAATAAATGTATTTAAAAAGTGCCTTTCAGGACACCCAAGGACACTTTACAGCAAGAAACATATCAGATAAGATTGTGTAAAAACAAACAGAGTGCAAAGACCAACGGGAATAAATTGAAACCTAAAATACATAAAACAAAGTTAAGAAGGAGACGCTAGTCTAAAGAGATTTGTTTTCAGAGTAGTCTTGAACAGAAAAAGAGAGATGGTGAGATGGAATGTAAATGTTAGATATTTCAGAACACCTTGTATTATTTCTAAATTTGATAAGGCCAAAATAAGCTTGTGCTTGAGACATTGTGGACAAGTTGGAAGATCATACATACATATTTTGGGATTGTCCAAAGACTAAACATTTATGGAAAGAATTAGGGAAGAAATTTCAAACGTCTTGCACACTTACATTGAGTGGAACCCCCTTTTTGTCCTAGGAATGCTCCCGAGTGATTTGTTAAGTAAAGAGCAACTGTACCTGCTTGGGACCCTTATACAGGTGGCAAGAAAAAAAAAAAAAAAAAAAAAAGATCACCCTATCGTGGAATAAACCTCTAAAAGCTAAACTATTAATTTATTTAAGAAAAGATGGAAACCATTAATAACATATTTGGAATTGACATTATAGCGTGTTAGTTTCTGTGTTAACAGATTCACTTACAGGTATCTGGACATGATGTATGAGAAACACCTTCCCTTTGTTTTTGCTTTAATTTCTTTAAAATGGAAAAGTTTTATTAACATATGAGTCGCTGAGATGTTCACTAAGGTTTCTGTTGAATTGATTCTTTTTAGTTTGATGTGACAGAAAATAGTGTCTGTAAAAATTTGGAATGTGAATAAAACAATTTGTTAAAAAAAATTATAATAATAAAAAGAATAGAAATACCGATATGTTGTCTTTAGTACAAAAGAGACATCTTTAATCCATTTAATGCAGACAAGTTCACTAATCTCAATTTGTAAACTTTTTTTAATCAATGTTTTTAACAGGATATCTTAACTTATGACCTGCATCTGAGCTCAAATAATAACTAAGCTAGTTTTACTTTGTTTCAGTCTGAGCTGCAAAAAGCCCAACAGTGTTTGCTGGAACAAACTCTTCTGTAAACGGAGGCAGGATTCAAAGCTTTTCTAAAGTTTCTCCACATTCTGAGAGTTTTCTCCTCGCTGGAATCATTTGGTGAAAATTCTCCACAAGTGACCGAAGATCCACTCAGTCTGTGTGAACTTTCATGTGACGATTTCGATGGGAAATGTGATTAAAACATTTTCCACAGGTTTGACAAGAAAATGGTTTCTCTCCTGTATGAATCAGCATGTGTATTTTCAGACTTGAAGACTGATTAAAGCTTTTCCCACAAGTTTGACAAAAAAATGGCCTCTCTCCCGTGTGGATCATCTTATGACGATTCAGATTAGAGGTATGACTAAAACGTTTTCCACAGGTTTTACAAACATACAGCTTCTCACCTGTGTGACTTCTGATGTGGATGACTAACTTGCTAAAAGCAGGGAAGCTTTTACCACAGAAGGGACAACAGTACTGCAGTCTGTCAGAGTTCTGGTTCCTAATTGAGTGGACCTTGATGTGTCGGATCAGATGTGAATTATCTATGAAAGTTTCTCCACAGATTTGACAAGAAAACAACCTCTCAAATGTTGCTGGTTGGTCTGCTTTGTCACCGTGACGCCTGTCTGTGTGATCAGTCTTTTGTGAATGCTCTGAATTTTCATGTGACCCTGAATCCTGGTCCTCAGGTCCAGCAGAACTCTGAAAGATGAGCTGCTCCTCGTCTGGTTCTGGTTCACTTTCTTCAAACAAAGCGGTCACCATAAACGGATCAGTCTCCTGCTTCAGCTGGAGCTGATCTTCATCCTGATTGCTGCAGAGCTCCTGCTCTTCTTCTTCTTTGATTATTGTAGATTCTGGTTCTGGTTCCTCCTGGTCCAGGCTGGAGTTCCTCTCCTGGTTGTAGAGCTGCTGGTCTGTGAGGATCAGCTCCATCTTGTGGACTGGTTCCTGTTGGAGGTCTGAAAGGACAAAACAACAAAAAAAAAGAGGTCCAATATTAAACAGTTACGTTCAGACAGTCATGGTAATTTTTTTTTTACTTAATAAAAAAAAAAAAAAGACTAAAATACAGCTGGAGGGAAAGCTTTTTAAATCTGGGTGACTTTGGTCTGCAGAGTGAACAGTCTTTCAGAAAAAAAAGAAACTGTCCAGATGACCTGACTGAAAAATGTTGGATTTTATACCTGGATTATTGAGCATGGACTTTGTTATGGTCTTTCAGAGTTGCATCAAAATGCTTTGATTTCTCCAGTTTTCTCCGAAGTAAACACAGGACACCAACAGATTATTTGTTGTGGCTCCTCAGACTGATGAAGTCTTTTGGATGAAAGACGAAACGTTTCATCAAAAACAAACCGTCCAGAGGACCTGACCTAACTTTGTGCGATCAACAGATTATGTTATGTTTGTTTTTTACTCATATACCGGTAGATTAACACAAGGTCAACAATGCAATGAAATGTTCAGGATGAGAAGAAAACCTTCGGCTTTCGCAAAAAAAAAAAAAAAAAAGAAATACTAAAGCAAGCAATAAAAGTACAAAATAAAGAACCAAAAAGTGAAAACGGCTGAGGAAGGCCGGCCAAGCGCACCAATGATCAGGCATCACTACAGCCCCACACCACAGGCCCGGAGAGGCCCCGGCACGCCACCTATGCACCCCTCCCCACACACAGCACCCCCCACCGCGAATGTCACATCAGGCTGACCAGCCAGCACCCCGTCAAAGCAAAGCCACGCCCCCGACCACCACCATGCATCACCAACGACCACACACACACACACACACATACAACCGACTCCCCGCCAGAACCCGGCAGCCACCCCAGCCAAAAGGCCGGCCATTGCAACCAGGAACCCTGATCAAAAGATCCAAACAACCCAGGGAGCACCGGCCCCACCCCCAATCGCCCCCCAAGGCCCAACACCCACCCACAGCCCAGACACCAACCAGGCAGCCTACCCCCACCCCTTCATGCCCCTGACCCCAAATGTCAAACGGAGAACGATATAAAAAAAACAGGAAGACCCAACTCCTCCCACTCAAATAAGGTGTTGATGCATGTTGTTATATAGTGTATGCCACTTGATTGTTACTGTATGTGCTGCTGACTATCCATGCTGCTGATCTCTTACTGCTGATTTATTTCATGCTGCTGTATTTATTCATAATCATCTGCTCACACAGACTTAAGTTCGTGCTGCTGTTGTTCGGCGTATTGTTTTTGCACTTTAATTCAAAAAGACTCATGATGTCATTGCTGCTCAGAGGATACAACGTCCAAGACTCTTCATCATTCAGATACAAAATGAAAAACTCAAATTAGTTCAGTTTGGGGAGAGTACTGGAGTAGAGTTTAGAGAAGGTATACCTGCGATCGGAGTGTCGCTGGTCAACTCCCCAGACCGAGATCAAAAAATGTGGGTGGAAAATGTTAAACACCTACACCTGCCTCCATCCTCATTAGCCCCACTCAGGGCCCAGGGAGCAAGGGCCTTGGTCCCTGGGCGCCTTTGATAGCAGCTCTTTGCTTCACGTGTGTGCTCACATATGCAGTGGGAGAAATGCAGAGAATTAATTTCACCATTGAGGCTTATTAGAGTACAATAAAATAATAAAACAATAATAATAATAACTTCAATTAGTTCTGTTGCCATCCATTAGCTCTGTTAGCACTCATTAGTTCTGTTAGCATCAATTAGCTGTTAGTATCCCTTTTTTTTGTATCCATTAGCTCTGCTGTTATCCATTAGCTCTGTTAGCATCCATTTATTTATTTTTTGTATCCATTAGCTCTGTTAGTATCCATTTTTTTTTGGTATCCATTAGCTCTGTTAGTATCCATTATTTTTTTTAGTAACCATTAGTTCTTTTGGAATCAATTAGTTCTGTTATCATCCATTAGCTCTGTTAGCATCCATTAGCTCTGTTAGCATCCATTAGTTCTGTTCAGTGTTGCCAGGTGTACGATAATTATTGTATTTGTACGACAATTTTGCCCTCTGTACGATCAATAATCCCAAAAAAGGCCAAATATATGATAATTTGACCATTCCGTGAATGTGTGGTTGTAATCGGTTGTCATCAGCCTGTTGCAACTGTCGGAATTTTTTGTGAACCCTGAAGGTATCTGTCCGTAAACAGATGCATGACTGGCTGGAAGTTCCATCCAATAGTACTTTTCTAAATGTTACTTACGAGTGGCGTGTTTCCGTTTGCCTCAGAACAACGGCCATGATTGGCTGAATAGTCCGCTGCGCCCACCCCATGAGTGAGGAAAAGAAAAAAAAGAAAAGAAGAAGAAGCAGAGCCGGTCTGGAAGCGGATCCATCACTACTGTAGTGCATCAATAGATTTGTTATTTTGGTTATGATGGGTGTACGATAATTTCCCTCAAAATACAATAATTTTATGTCTCTAGTACGATAATCTTACATTTCTCATCTGGCAACACTGGTTCTGTTAGCACCCATTAGTTCTGTTAGCATCAATTAGCTCTGTTGTTATCCATTAACTCTGTTAGCGTCCATTAGTTATATTAGCGTCCATTAGTTATATTAGCGTCCATTAGCTCTGTTAGCACCTATTAGCTCTGTTAGCATCCATTAGCTCTGTTAGCATCCATTAGCTCTGCTGTGATCCATTAGCTCTGTTAGCATTAATTAGCTCTGCTGTTATCCATGAGCTTTGTTAGCATCCATTAGCTCTGTTAGTCAGAGTCAGAGTTTCTTTATTGTCATTCGCACCTCATGTGGTACATGTGGTGGAGCGAAATTATGTACACGGGGTCCCAGTTACATCCAACAATAAAATGTTGGCATCAATTAGCTCTGCTGTTATCCATTAGCTCTGTTAGCATCAATTAGCTCTGCTGTTATCCATGAGCTTTGTTAGCATCCATTAGCTCTGTTACCACCCATTAGCTCTGTTAGCACCTATTAGCTCTGTTAGCATCAACTAGCTCTGCTGTTATCCATTAGCTCTGTTAGCATCAATTAGCTCTGCTGTTATCCATTAGCTCTGTTAGCACCCATAAGCTCTGTTAGCATCCATTAGCTCTGTTAGCATCAATTAGCTATGCTGTTATCCATTAGCTCTGTTAGCGTCCATTAGCTCTGTTAGCATCCATTAGCTCTGTTAGCATCCATTAGCTCTGTTAGCATCCATTAGTTCCGTTACCAATTCAGCAATTCGTTACCTGTCAGCATCAATTAGCTTGGCTAACGTGTTCCAAGTTCGGTATAATTTCGTCTTTTTAGCTTCCGGGTTTAATTTCTGTGTGTAATCTGTGTAATCTAACGGAGCTCCTGGTGGTTGTGTGAGCAGGTTCAGAGCTACGTACCGACTCTGTGCAGCTTCAGCTCAGGTTTCCAGCTGACATCCAGCAGTCTGCGCTGACGGTCGAGCTCTTCTTCGTACCGCAGGATCGTCTTCTCAAACTCGGAGAAGATTTCTGAGGCAGCAGCGCTCAGTCTTTCACCGATGAACTCTCTCAGATAATGAATTGAAAACATTTTGTTTACTAAAAACTGAATAAACACTTTTAATGGACGGAAAACAACTGCTCTCCGTAACGTACGCTGACCCCACAGAACAACGATACGGTTTCTTCTTCTTTGATTTTATTGGCGGTTGGCAAACCGCTTGTTAGTGCGCATTACCGCCACCTTCTGAATTGGAGTGTGAACCAGAATTAAACCCCAACCTATTTTCTCCTGAAAAGTTCTGATTTTACAAGAAAATGAAAATATGCCCAACTTAAAATGTGAATTGAATTTAAGCGAAGCAATTCAACTAAATTAAATTTTTTGCTCATGAAATTGATTTTGAAGAATAACTCTTTCTCTGTGATATTTTATACAATCTGTTCTACTGTCTCTTGTGATTGGCCACATTCACAAACTCCTGTAGGATGTTTTCCTATTCGTTTTAGATTAGAATTTAAATATGTATAACCAAATTGAAGTCTTGATAAAATATCCTCTTCCCTCCTCTTCGATGTTTCCCTCATCCTACCCACAATTTTTTGAAAATAATAAAAATGTCTCCCTTTCCACTCCTTGTTCCATTCCTCCTGCCATTTCTTCCTTAACAATATATTTTATTTCTGATTTGCTGTATGAGACTTATAAGGAATTTTTTTTTATCTTTGTAGAAGCTTCTTTAACAAACTTATCTGCAAGTCCATTACCTAAAATTCCTATACAAGCAGGGACCCAAATTAATCTTAAACTCCTGATCTTTTAATTCTATACAGTGTTTGTAAAATTTCTATTACAACAGGCCTTGATTGAGAATGAGCAAGCTTTATACTGCAGATTACACTACTGGAGTCTGTAGCAATTAATATTCGGATACATTTTGGCGTAGCATACTCTTCTTCGATGCCAAGGTATCGTGTAAAAATGCAACAGCGCCTCCATCGGTCACGAAACGTTGGTTACGTACTGTAACCCCAGATTCTATGAATATAGGCGTAGCCCTTTAAGGCTGTCGCTGATGGTTTATCCCGTTATGCGCAGCATAAGCACTGAAAAAAATTAGTCCACGCCCACCTGCTGTGTGGGCCCCACCCGGTCCGTATAAATTACGTTAAGAGCGGGAAATCGGCTCCCAAAATAGCTTTTTTCTTCAGCCATTTAGGAGCCAGTGAGGCCCGACGCTTAAAGGGCTACGCCTATATTCATAGAATCTGGGGTTACAGTACGTAACCAACGTTCTATGTCATATAGGCTTCGCCCTTTAAGGCTGTCGCTGATGGTTTAAGGGCGAAGCGGATGTGGTCCTCGCCTCACTGGGTCCATTCGAACACAGTAAGAAGCGGAAGCTTGCCCAAAAAGCGTCTTGTCACTCAGCTCCCCGTGTGCATAAACTACGCATCGCGTAATTATGTGCCATGCACAGACGCATGTTGTGTAACTATGCGTTCTGACAAACATGAATACCCCGGAAAAACTTTCAACGGGAAGAGGAAGTTAAAAGAGGGGGGGGAGGGGGGCATGAACCAACTGGTTCATGGCTGAACAGTATAAACAGATTAATGTCCATGAATTGATCAATAATCAAATGAACTGATTGTTAACAATAATCATGAACTGATTAGTGACAATAGAACCAAAATCACAGACACGACTGTGACTGAAAACAACATCTCACACTGTAATGCATGCAGACAGAAGTGAGCTTAAACAGAGTTCCATGAGAACAACAATATTCATTCTGTTAGGGCACTAAGGACAGAATGTGTCATGGAACGAGCCGTTACATCACGTAGGTAAAAGCGAATAAATGAGCAGGGTGTTGACCATGCAGCCGCAGTGCAAATGTCCTGCATTGACATACCATTATGCAGAGCAGTCGAAGATGCGATACCCCTGGTGGAGTGTGCTTAGAGGTTGACAGGAGGCCCTAAATCTGATGCTCTGTAGGCTTCAGAAAAAGGCCTCACACAGCCAGTGTGACAAGCGCTGGGTGGATAACGGCGACCTGCAGAAGCATCTCTATAATGCACAAACAATTGTTGAATTTGAACGCATTGCAGCTGTGCGCGTTACGTAACACGTCAACGCCTGCACCGGGCAGAGAAGATGAACAGATGCTTCCCCTTCTGATCTGTGGGGGGGAAAAAACCCCTCCAACGACATCACTCTTGATTTAAAAGAGCTCGTGATGTTTTAGGCATAAAAGCTGGGTTGGTCTTAAATCAGCTGAGCTGCCCGTCAGCCTAATTCTAAGGCATGACGAAACAACAGAGAGGGCAGATAATTACTTACCCTCTTAGCGGGTGTTAAAACCAGCAGCAGGACTGTTTAAAGAGACAAGAATTTAAATGAAAACTGATCCAGAGGCTCAATTGAAGCTTTGATCAGGGCTCGCAGGACCAGCGTTAAATCCCACTGTGGAACAAGTGGGCATGAAACAGGCCTACATCTCTGTACACCTTTTAGAAACCGCTTCATCAGCGGGTGATTAAAAGCTGTTCTGTCTCCAAACCCTTTGTGGCAGGAAGAGATGGCTGCAACGTACGTTAAAGCGTACTGAAAGCCAACTCCCTATCCATCAGGTGTTGTAGAAAAACAACACGCTGCCTAAAAAGCATGAAGTGGTCTCTAAACCTTCTCTGTACACCAGCGCTGAAAAGCCGTACCCTTGATGTGTACAGAACTGTGGTAGATGCAGCACGTGAATCTTGAATTGTGCACACTATCTCCTGAGGGAGACCCATCCTCTAAGTGGGACCGCTCAGCGGTCAAACCCACCGGTGTTGACCTATTTCTGGGTAACTCTTGGTCGCTCCTCCTGCCTGAAGGAGAGCATCCTTCCTCCACGACAGTTCCACGGCGACCCCACAACAGACGTTGCAGGCCTGGGAACCATAGTGCGTTCACACGCCGGGAGCCACCAGGAGAGCTGTCAATCCCTCCTCCTGAACTCGGTTCATGGACCGTAAAAAACAGAGGAGGTGAGGGAAAAGAAACGCGTAAAAAGCGTTTTGGGCCACCGACTGTGAGCAAATGCGTCCCCCCCCAGCGATGGATCGTCTCGCGGGCTCAGGGAAAAAACCGTAGTTGACATTGCGCGTTCTTCTCGCGTCGCAAACAGGTCCACAGCTGCTTTGCCAACTTCTGCTGTGTCTGAAAAACATCAGATCCGGATGGAGGATCCGGTCCACATAACGTGGGCCGCCCTTGGACGTCACATCAGCCCCTCTGTTCAGAACATCGGATATGTAAACCGCTCTAATAAAAGCAGGTTTGATGAACCCAACTCAGTAGCTTCCGCGCAATGTGTACCATCTGGGCTGAACGCACACCCCCCTGGCGGTTTATGTACGCAGCAGTCACCATGTTGTCTGTGTGAATCAACACGTGTTGATTCTGTAGCACGGGAGCAAAATGTTGAATCACATTCAGCACTGTGCGACACTCCAAAACATTGATGTGGGCTGATGTGCGGTGGGGCCACAGCGCCCCTACTGCTTGAGATAGGCATGTTCCCCCCCCCAACCTGACAGAGACGCGTCCGTGAAGACTGACACGTGACGTGGGTCTGCTGACGGGGACTCCCTCTGACAGAGCCAGGGTGTTTCCCCAGTGTCGGAGGTCTGCTCCCATGGAGGGAGGGACAGTGATCATCCGTCTCTTTTGTTTTACTGGATCCACACGCAGACGCGTAAACCACCTCTGGAGGCGTCTCATGTGTAACAAACCCAGCGGGACCACTGTGTGAGCTGATGACGTCATTCCCAACAGCTTCATGACGGAGACAGCTGTTACCACTTTGCCAGGTCTTACGTGGCGTAATTGGTTTTTAGAGTGTCGATTCTTGTTTGTGATAAACGAGCCGTCATGATAATTGAGTTTAATTCCACTCCCAGATAACAATTATCTGGGCCGGGAAAATCGAGCTCTTCTTCCAGTTATGGCGAAACCCAGATTTAGCAGGTGTGATGCTAACACCTGAGCCTGTATCAATGCTTCCTGTCTGGAGTGAGACAGGGGCAGCAGGTCGTCCAGGTAAAACAAAACTCTCATCCCTGCTTGTGCAGTGGATGCAGGGCTGTCTCCACACACTTTGAGAACGTACGAAGCGCGAGGGAGTACCCAAAAAAGGCAACCTGTTGTACTGGTACTTCATCCCTTGAAAGGCGAAACGCAGAAATTTTCTGTGTTTTGGGATGATTGGTGTGTGAAAATAGGCATCTTTTAAAACGATGGAGACAAACCAGTCGTTTTCCTGGATGTTGTCCAACAGCTGTCTGTTCATCAACATGTGAAAAGATCTGTTCATGATCGCTTTGTTGAAAGCTGACAGATCCAGAATCGGTCTCATCCCTCCGGTCCTTTTGGGGACCAGGAAGTAGCGTGAGTAAAACCCTGTGTTTTCCTCCTCGTTGGGAACTCTTGAGATTACACCTTTTATCAGAAGCTCTTGGACTTCTGCATTTAAGGCTGAGACTTGGTCTGTTGATGACAGGACCGTCTCTATACCTCCTCCGAACGGAGGGGGTCGGGTTGCAAACTGCAGCGTGTAACCCTTGCATAACACTCTGTCCATCCATCTGTCCGGTGAGCATGTTTTTAACCACTCTGCGTGACGTTCGTGGAGTGGACGTGCGTTTAAATGATGTGCCGTGTTTTGAACGGATGTCATCCAAACCTCCGCCTCGACCGCCGTCATGCGTCGCGGAAATGTTTTCCGCGTGACCCAAGGCGAGGCTTTCTCGAAAGGGCTGTTCTGCGCGCGCCCGCGCGCTGTGACTGGATCGCGGACCAACCTTCATGTCCGGGCGGGGCGGTGTGTGCTGAGGCGAGGCGTGTGTCAGCTGATGAAGTGAAGGTTGTGAGCCTCGCGGGAGCGCACGTTTCCTCTGGAGGGACGCGCGCCGCTCTCGCTGAGGGCGGGGCCCGTCATTGGATTCATTCAGCTGTCTCACGCTTATGCCGCCGTGAGCTGCTGATCGCTGGGACGCGGTGGATGACGGCCACTCGCGTTCATTCAGGAGAGGCGTGTGTTGTTTTCGCTGAGAGCAGGGACCTCCACCGGACCCGGCCTGCGGTCCCACATTTATCCCGATGTGGGCCGGTGAGCGCCGGGCAGCTGTGCG